CTAATTACCTAGATGTCTCATCTCATTGTCCATTGTTTGAGTCCTGGTCATTCCTGGTTTGTCCTTGGCCTGTCATAATGTGGCTTTGAAAACTTTTATTACTATTCCTTTCCTTCTGCCCCAATTACACAAGTCAGAAAATATGTAGAACTGTACAATTGAAAACTGCTAGAAAGTGAGCTGAAGATGCTTCCATTCATTTTGTTGTTGTTCCTGTGATTCAGATGTGTCCAACTCTTTGTGACCCCATTTGGGGTTTTCTTAGCAAAGATACTGGCATGGTTTGTCATTTCCTTCTCCAGCTCATTTTACAGATGAGAAAACTGAGGCAAACAGGGTTAAATGACTCACCCTGGGTCATACAGGTAGTGTTTGAGGCTGTATTTGAACTCAGTTTTTCCCAGTTACAGTCCTAGCACAATATCCCCTGTGCCACCTAGCTGCTCACTTACATTCAAACCATCATTTTATAGACGAGGATACTAAGGATCAGAAAATTTCAGTTCACTTCAATTCAAAATATTCTTATTGAGCTCTTTGTGTGAGACTTCGTAATGACTTGCTCAAGGTTACACAGCCAAATGTATAAAATCAAGATAAAAACCCAGATCTAATTCTTAGTCATGAGCTCTTTTCCTTCTACCATATTTCCTTCAAGATATCTCTTAATATAAAAATACTCAGTAGTAAAATTATGCTATATTGTAACTTATAAAGCAAGAAGCATATTTAGTATACTTTTCTTGAAGCTTTCCTATTATGGAACATTCAGTTCTTTTCCAAGGAGCCATCTTGAATGCACCAGTGGCCTGCACAAATTAGCAATAATTGATGTGCATGGTTCCTTCTGAGTCCCGCGTAAGATTCCAACAAAAGTCAAGGTATAGGAGAAAAGAATACCAATCAATGTTTCCTTCTTGTTCTCTTGGAAAAACTGTGATTTAGATCAGGGAGAGGGCAGACCCCAGAGGTTTAGTGCTCAGTCCATTGATTTGACTTCTCAGGGTAGGCATAGCACTGGTAGATGGAAGTGATATCTCAACCCTAGCCTTTGCTAATTGCTACAAACTGAACAGAAGAGAAGGCAATGCAATGTTAGGCTCTGCACAATCCTACAAATATGAGAAGCAGCAGGAGCAGCCTTTGATACTTTGGAGGTAGCACTGCACACGTATTGCTACTTATCATGGTACATGCATGAGGATATTGAAAGTTCTGGAAATTAGCTGGTTTCCTTGAGCATAATACGAGATTCAACAAGCCCTTGGCCACTGTGACCTATCCCATAACTCTTTTAGGCAACAATGATGGGCACTGGAGGCCCCACCAAAGCTATGGTTGTTGCTGTAGATGCTTCTGCTGTAATAATTGTAGGAGTTTCCAGTTTTCATCAAGAAGCAGTCCATGGCACACATCTAGATTCTTGGCATAGCATCAGCCAATCCTCTTGGCATGATCCTAAACCTAGTGGCAGAATTTGAGTGATAGGATTCTTTGTCAGGTTCTTCCCTGTTCCATACCTTGGAATTGACTATACCATGAGTTATTTGTCCCTACCAAAATGGAGAAACACAGCCATTTGGGGGCCAGGACCAGGCAATGGCAAGAATAGTAACCCTTGAGTAAAGGGTGAGAGGAGTTGGAACAGAAAAATGAGAGAAACACCCAGTTTTACTTCTTATTAGATAACCATGTGACCTTGGGCAAATCACTTAACCTCTCTAGGCCTCAGTTCCTTCAGTCTGCAAAATATGAGAGTTGGCTTAGATGAAGCCTAAGGACCCTTCCAGCTCCAAATCTGTGATTCTATGATAGTCCTATGAGGCCAGTAACATGCCTCTGCAATGCATACTGATATAAAGGCATTGATGCTGGAGGCATATTTCCAAATAGGAAAGCAGGTCCATTTTTCAATGGCAATTAAAGAGAAAATTGGATTTAATTTGTAGAATTCTTGTTTCAGGTGACTCAGTTGGGAATGTGCTTGAAGCAAAACCTCAATTAATCAGAACCACAAATTACTTTCAACTAGATTTATTTTTCCACACGCTCCTTTGAGGAGAATGCCTTTAATCACAGGAAAATAAGTTCATATCTTACTCATTTAAAAAGGCATGTTTTTAGGCATGCCCTAGGGGTCACTGTAGATTCAGTCTGGCTTCCTACACTTTATTCATCTGTAGCCCTATATAAAGGCAACTAATATTTTAAGTCTTAAAGTAAGATTTTGTGTGTGTGTGTGTGTATGTGTATGTGTGTGTGTGTAATTAGAATAATCCTGAGACCCTGGTAAGATCCCAAATCATAAAAGAAAGCTCATTATAGTCACTGAATGACTTACCTAGATAGGAAAATGAACTAATATATTTTTAGAAAAATTTTCAATAAGAGTTGAAGTTGTAAAGACTTTATAGTCACCACTTAGTTAACCCATTATTTGTATCAATTTCTGACATTTTTGTGCAGTATTTAATAGATATTTTATTACACAAAAACATCACATGAGGGAGAAAGGAGGATGGATTTCCAAAAGGAAAAATGGCAGGGAATGAATGAATTGATCAAGAATTCAGTTAGCCAGAGCCTACTATTCCCAAGTCATCCCAGTTAGTTGTTGTTGTTGTTGAGTCTTCTCGTTTGTGTCCAACTCTTCATGGCCCCATTTGGGGTTTTCTTGGCAAAGATACTGAAATAGCTTTCCATTTCCTTCTCCAGTTCATTTTACAGATGAGGAAACTGAGGCAAATAGACTTGCCCAGGGTAACCCAGCTAATAAGTGTCTGAGTCTACATTTGAACTCATGTCTTCTTGACTCCAGACTGGTGCTTTATCCATTCAGCCACTTTGCTGCCCCCATCCTAGTTAGGTGGAGTTTTAATGTCCTCAGTAAGGTAACAAATCCATAGCTTATCAGAACAAAAGTCAGTATGGTTTTGCTGGTGTCGAGTAATGAAGCTCTATGTCCTTTTGAAATATTTTTGACTCTTTTTAAGGTGACTCAAATAGCATAATACAGTGGAAAGGGTAGTGGATTTGGCCTTAGAAGACCTGGATTTGAATCCTGCTTCTGCTACTTACTATACTTGGGCAAGTCACTTAACTTGTCTTGGCCTCATTTTCTACATCTTCAAAATGAAGGTGTTGAATTACGTGACCTCCACGGTGCCCTTCAAATTTAACTATATAGTCCTCTTACAAGGCTACAAAGTAGAGGGTTTTTTGGTTTGTCTGTGTAATATCCCAGTTTGGGATTTTTTGTTGTCTTATACTCAAAGCCAATGGGCACTGGAGCCATTACTGCCCCCTGTGACCTAATCAGAGGTCATACACAGCAGAACTTTCAGAGAGAACCGTGGAAAGTCTAAATAACTTGAAAATAAGTTTTCCACTATCTGCTTCATAAATCAGTGGTATTATATGGAATAAAGTCAAATATGACCAAGCCACTGTGGAGTTGCTGAGAACTGGGACTGCCCTTGCTGATAAGCAACATTTTTGAACCTGTGAATGTAACAGACAGAGGCAAGCTGAGCTATCTGAATGCTGTAGTGAGCAGTAATAGCAGTGAGGGGGCAGGGGCTGAATCAACTGCTCATCACCACTCAGAATCTCTCTACTCACAGCCTTTCAGATAAACAGGAAATATGGTTTAATTTTCTGCCTGCAAATAATGAACAGATTTGGTGAGTAACTATCTCCCCCAGATCCAATCTTATATCCCCCCTCTCCCCACCCCCAAATGCCCTGTGTGACACTTGGATTCTGCATTTTTCCTACTCTAAAAGATCATTACTCTGCATGGCTGGCATTGTCAGCTGTGAAGTCACCCTTTTTGCCAGCCCAGTTGATTGATTTTCTCTGTCCATGCTGTCCTGGCCTTAGCTCTTTTCCCATCTGCCGAAATCAGCTTGCTTGTAGTTCTGCTGGCATTTCCCAGTGTGAAACTGGACAGCAGACTTCTGCACAGGCTTCTGCAGATAGCAGGGGCTAAGCAGCATTGTTGCCCTCCGACAGTTTATTTAGCATTTTTGAATAGAAACCTTGCATCTTTTTCACCCTTTACATATTAATTTGGTGAATGCTAGCCTGAAAACGAGCTCTTAATGAGCTGGTAGTCAAAATCAAATAGTTGAATTGAGAAGCTAATGAATCCCGTGTTCCTTTTGATAAATAGAAAGCAATGAACATGTTTGCCCTAAAGTTCAAGCTCTGATTAACGGGCTATGCAAGATTTTGATCTCTTGAGCAAATATACTTTATATTATTAATCTTCTCTGTTTCTTACTCCCAGTGTATGATCTCCTGTTGGAAAAAGTCTCTTTTTTATGGCCTCATATATAAATTGTCTTTTCAACCACAGCTATATTCATTTGGATGGACCTAGATGAGTAGTATTGCAATCTTAGGAAAAAATGATCATCTTGGTAGAAACAGGACCTTTTTTTTTTCATCATTCTGAAAATCAAGTCACTGTGTTTGGGGGCTATCTTTTAATGTCTTGAATGTGGGTGTGGGTGTGTGTGTGAGAGAGAGAGAGAGAGAGAAAGAGAGAGAGAGAGAGAGCGAGCAAGGTGTGTTTTTTGAACATTTATCTATTTAACACTTAGAAATTCAGCAAGAAACAAGATCATTAAAGATGATTGATTGCTATAGTCAAATTCCACTGGAACCTTACTTTCCCTAAATGTTAATCCTATAAAGTATGTATGTATGTGTGGGGGAGGGTAAGGGTGGGGAAAAGGCAGAGGGATAAATTGTGTTGCTTTGTTATCACTGTTCCTTAACTTTCCCACTAATCAAAACCACCCCATCAGTGAATACAACTACAAGCCTTCATAATTAAAGCAGCCTGAGCAGGACAGTGAGGTTGCTGACAATCCCGTATTCTTCTTTGTGTGGTCCATGTGTCCTCCATTGTTAGTTTATTCTTATAAAGGAAGAAAACGTTTACCAGCTTTCTGCTGTTTCAATGATGCTTTTCTCTCCAATCTAATTTATAGGGTTGACAGTGTTTCCTAGTGGGCTGCTGTCAATTCTGCGGTTTCCATCAGAAGTCGTGCTTAGTGATGTCTGGACACCAAATGGAAACCACTGTTGCTGAAGTAAATAACTAGCAGTGAGTATTTTAGTCTTTGGTTCCTCTGCTCCCCCTTCCCAGGAGATTCAGTGATTTGCTTAGAAAGGAGCAAAGAGCTTAATATCTGAACTCAAAATTGACTAAGGGGCAAAGCTGGTTCATTAGCTTTAACGTGGACCAAGGCTACTGGCTAAAAAGTGATAAACTTTGATGGATGGGGTAATTCTGATCCATTCCAAGCTAAGTCTCTATTTTCCCTGCTCAGTCTTGCTTATCTTTTGAAAAAATTATTCTTAAAGCTAAGGTTGCTCTCCACCACTTTTGTATATATCTGGTATGGACCTATTGTTTACATGTTGTCTTATTAAAAAGAATGTCATCTCCTTGTTGTTGTTATAAATTAAGAGTGTAATCTCCATGTTGTTATTAGAAAGAATATAATCTCCTTGAGGGCAGGAACTTCTTTGTTTGTTTGACTTTTCTTGTATTCCCCAATGTTTGACACAATGCTAAGTATACACATGATAAGTACTTATTAAATATTTGTAAACTGATTGAATGTTTAAAATAAATCTCCTATAGTAGGAAGTGAATCGGATGGGCTGGAAGCCCTAAAGTAGATCCTTACAGCACATTTGCCATTAGTTGAGTATTGTAGTTATCAAAGGACATTGTGAAGTAGACTTTTCTCTATGGTCTAGCTCTATTGCAGGAAATCATTCAAACAATACTTGCTTCTGGTTTGTAGAACAATCCTTTAGAAAACACAGAAAAATAAGTGGAGAGCTTATGTGGATGTGGACCATTCTCTTAATGTCTTTTGGCTTTCTGCCTAATTGAAGAAGAGAAACTGACTCTACCTAAAGAACAGATGAACCTTAATTTAGTCAAAGCCCATGGTTATTTTTTCCTTTGCTTCGAAATGGCTCCCAATACACATTCCCGAGAAAACTCATCCAAAGCATTCTCTTCCATAAAAAAGGAAAACCCCACCCCACCACCCCCTTAAGTGCCTACTATCCTGTAAGGGGGTAAATATTTTCAATGCTCTTAACTTGTTCTAAGTTTTTTTCTTCCTCTGCTTTTCCTTCTTTCTTTCATTCTTTTCAATGCTAGGAGTCACTTTTGTTAGGAAAATTTGAGCAAAAAATTTCATTTGAATAGTGTGTAGCTCCCAGATTCATAATTTTCAATAGTTTCAGATAATTGATAATCAATAGGGAATCTTAAAGAGTTACACCCTCTTTGTGGTACAAGGGACTCCTTCCTTTCTAGATCTTTCCTAAAGGGAATCATCCCTTTCCTTTATGGAGTCTTCTTTTTCTACTCCAGTTTACAGCAATTTCTCCTTCCTTGTATCTCCTGTGGTGACTCTTCTTTGAACCACTCATTATGCATGGAATATGGATGGCTCGACCATGGTGTTTAACTTTCAGTTGTGTATGGCCACACTGAAACTCTGAGGTCCTAAAGGGTAAGGGACCATGTCTCATGTTTGAATCCTCATAGCAATGAGCACCCTATTATCTTCAAATCAACACAGCATTTATTGATCACCTATCACTTAGTTGTTCAGTCATTTTTAAGTCATTTCTAACTGTTTGTAACCCCATTTAGGGTTTTCTTGGCAAAGATACTGGATTAATTTGCCTTCCTTCTCCAGTTCACTTTATAGATGAGGAAACTGAACCAAACAGGTTTAAGTGACTTGTCCAAGATGACACAACTAGTAAGTGTCTGAGGCCAGATTTGCACTCAGGAAGATGCATCTTCTTGATTCCAGGCCTGGAACTCTAACCACTGTGCCACCCCATCTACCTGCCTGCCCTTATCACTTAATACGTGAGATCAAATGAGATAACCTGAAAGCTCTTTGCAAACCTTAAAGTCCTATATAAATCCTAGTTATTCTTATTATTGTTACTACTACTACTACTACTACTACTACTACTACTACTACTACTACTACTACT